GTACTACTACTATTGGCTAACTTATTCATTTTGATACCTGTAAAACAGTTGTCTTATTCTCTTATTTCGTACTTGATTGGCAAATTCCATGCTGCTGAAGAGTTTTTCTGTTGTTGTTGATATTTTTCGCTCCCTATGTTGCTGTAGCCTCCTCCTCAGCTGTTGCTTCTAAATTTCCGACTCCTTTGCTGCATGTCTCTGGCTTGAGAAAATTTTTGATAGTTGGATTGCCCTTTATTACATTTTCTTGCCATTTGCTTAAAAGTTCTAAGATCTTTGTCTTTAACTCTTGATTTTTAAAACCCTACAGTTATTAGATTTTGGAGTATTAAATTTACAGAGCTTTCAATGTAGCTATAGCTTGCTGGTCATGCTCTTAACATGTTTCTCATTTTTTTGGCTTCTGCTATTTCTCCTCTAGTAGTTTTAAATTTATTTACTGTTTGCTCATACTCAAGCAGACCTTCTATAAAATGGTAATTCCAATAATTCACTGCAATGTATTGGAGGTAGTGTAAATACTGCTTGAAAAAGCATACTTGATAATTGGGTGTGGTTCAAATATATATTCAACGATTTACCAAATAAACAACCTGAAGAATGTATCACGTAAATAATGAAAGGACACGGTGAAGTCATGACACAAAGTACTGCTAAACTAGCTTATCTTATTAACATTTCTTTTTTAAATTTTACAATTATTCTAAAAAACAACATCAAATATTCTCTAAATATTCATAATAACTGCAATCAACAAAGTCTGAATTTCAGCTATCCAGCACCACAATATTAAAGTTATTAGAAACCGAAAGGCAATTGCCTACCATAATATTTACACCGTGTGGCAGCTCACTCCAAACGTCATTTGGAGGTGAATCCTCAGAGTTTAAATTAGAACTCAAAGCCAAGTGCTCTTAATTGAGTAAAAACTATCAAGACTATTTATATTAGCACATGTTAAAAACTTGAAGTATATAATGAACGAATAAGTATAAAATCAGGTTTCTCTAAAGGTAGAAATCAGCACTTAACTTTGATGCTTGATAACAGAGCTACAACAAACTTATTGAAAATAAATAAGTAGGATTGTATAAAAAAACTTCTGGAAGAGCTCAACAATATACTTAAATAAACAGTAATGATACAAAATCTGGTCTTGTAAAAGAATACTGTGATCATAACGATACAAAGACAACGTATATTTTTTCACATTATGCCTAATAATTCTCCCATTAAAGATGGCAGAAAACTTATTCAAATTTTTTGTAAGAAAAGAGCCACACGAAAATAATATAATAATGTAATAGCTTTTGATGACTACATAACGCATTATATATCCATTTTATAGACACGTTATGGAATAATACTATTAGGCAAGAAGAACAAACGAGCCATCAAAGAACTCTCAGAACTAGTTTTACTAAATAAGATTTTAGCTTCCTGTATTGACACAAAGAAAAAACGAACATACCCCAAAAATACAATAAATTAGCAAAAGTTTTATAATAAATACGTTATAGGCTCACATGAAATATCTCATATTTCTTACTAAGCAAAACTTGGTAAAATACAGGTAGACATAAAATTGCAAAACAAATACAACAAATAAGCTCTCACCTAGAGGAAAAGTAAACTTAAGACCATTGATTGTCCTGATCTTAAAAGTCAAAAAACTTATCAGTATAAATACAGTAACTTATTAGATGACAAGTCTAAACATAACTCATCAAATTGGATTAGTTGTTGGTATAGAAAAAAATACGAGTCTTATTCCAAACAACAAAATATAGATTAATCAGTTTAATCTTCTATCAAATCCCACCCACGCTTAATTGTACAGATTTATTTTATTAAAACACAATTATTTAAAATTTTTTTACCACTTATAAGTATAGAAAATAAAATCTACAGGCTAAAGAAAAAAAAAGAAATAAAAAAAAAGAATGCAAGTGTAATATGAAGCTATGAACACTAAAGATACTTTATAATGAAAGTAAGCCTAAACGAAAGTTAGTTATTTAAGTACATTAGTCCTTAATTTACCATTCACACTTAAAGTAAAAAGGATACTTTTATCATAGTTCAAACTAAGTTTTAGCAAGTAAAAAACTAAAGGACTTTGTGCGTACATGCCATTTAAACTTGGAAAAGAAAAGAAGTTATGACTGCATTAAAAAAATTCAGCATCTTTTTTAGCCATGAAATACCTCACTGCATTCAAATTCAGTTTCACATGAAATACTAACGTAAGATAACATTTTTTTTTATCAACATTAAATAATATTAGTACCCAGGAAGTCAGAGCAGAATTAAAAAAAAATATGTAAAAAGATTTTTTAACAATTAAATGTTCATCATTTACATACAACTCACCCCTTAAGATAAGTCCAAGAAACCACTTAGTAAAGAAATTCCTAGATCAGAAGTAATTATTGATTCTAGAAATATCAAAAGAAAACAACTAGTGATGCATATCAATAGCCTAAAGTAGCCATTTGAATAAAAAAAAAGAAAAATAGTATTTTTTTTAGTATTTACTGTGGCAATCCAATTCTAATATATACTTATGGCCTGAACATGACACTATCTAAGAATACAAGTGAATTTTAATAATATTATCATCCGTGCAAAAGACCTAGTAAATCACAACTTGATTGTAAGGTTTCTTTCTAACAAGCTAAAATGTGCTAAAATTGCACTTCATCCCTCTTACAGAGTATGCCGTCAATCTCTCTGTATTAAATATCGACAGGTAGGTACCATGAAGGTGGGATTCCTATCTATACTTTATAATTTTGGTAACGAGAATATGATCGTTTGTTAACTGATATTTTATTTATATTCCTTTTACGGGGTATGTCGTCCATATCTGCTTATTAAATATCGATAGGTAAGTACCGTTAGATCAGGACACTTATTTGATCGTTGCTTACTTCACAACAAGAATAGTAATGTAAATTAACTGATAAATTATCTACATGTCTCTTAGAGGGTATGCCGCCAATCTCTCGGTATTAAATAATAACAGATAGGTACCGTTAAGTCGGGATTTTTATATATTCGTTATAAATGTAGTGACAGAAATAGGAATGGTTACATACTGATAAATCATCTGTATTCTTCTTACAGGGTACGCCATTAATCTGTTCGCATAAGATATCGACAGGTAGGTACCGGTAAGGCAGGTTTCCTGTCTGATAATTTTTAATTTGGTAACTAAAATAGAAATGTACATGTACTTTGTGACGTTCGACGAAAGCTGAAATGATACTTGCATGCAAAGACGCCAAATTCAAAGAAACAAGCGAGGCGGGATTTCGTTTAAGTACTAAGGCTTTAATGAAGCAAACTTAACAATACATATCTTTCTATAATGCATACAAATTATTACATCAAGCAAAACGTAATATTTAAATAAAGGCGTACAAAAATGAGCGAATAGCAAAGAAAGGAAAAGTAAGCGTTTAAGCGATAACCAATATGAGCTTAAGTCAAAATTATAATATGTTTAAAATAATAACCAACGCGATGCATTGAAGCAAATCATAGCGGTGCATTTAAGCTACTCTAAATCAAGCATTGAAGCTAAGTGCCTTGGTGCATTGAAGCGCGACACGAATGTATGGCGGATTCCCCGTTGGCACCAGAAAGATCAAGTGTCTCGATCAAGCCAGTACCATCGGAAGAATGCCTACCGTCGTGTGCTCGCCGTGCCTGGATGGTGCTGTCGGATCGCTTGCGGTAGGCGCTGCCGAAACCCATTTCCTATGCGCCGATTGGTAACTTGCGGTGATGGGCCATGTATTGAAGCCCGAAAGCATTGCGCTGCGCGCGGCGATCTACCTGCTCTCCGCCCTACGTGCACCTATTTAAAACACAATTAGTAGCAAGCACAGCGTTAGCTATCAACATAAAATGAGAACAAAAAATATTTCTACCTATAAACACAAGATATAATAAAGACCACCAATCACACATCGCTTCACCCATTATTAAGAATAAATTAATTAATTAATTCAAATTCGAGAGGCTAGTCGGTTACATTAGCCCCCTTGATGAAAATGAGTTTTTAAACAAAATACACAAATTTTCATCTAAAGAAGAAAAAACAAAAAAGAAAAAGAGCTTTAAACGTTGAATTCCGCACCTTATCGTTAATAATTCAACCATGCCTAAACTGCCACGTACATCGCGTAACTGGACCAAGTGTATGATCGCAACTCAAAAATTTACTAGATCGAGATTTGCGTTAATCAACGAACAATACGAAAATAAGGGAGACAGTTATTGTACCCATCGTTTGAATAACTTCAAGCCACTGCTGGAAATCGTCCACATCCAAGTCGAAAATGTCGTCGCGATTTGCCTGCACAGCCGATGTGGAGTACTCGTGCAACAAGCCGAACGGGTCATTCGTTGTATCATCATTTCCTTCCTCTTCAGAAATTACTTGTTGCAACGAGGCGAGCTCGACCTCGAACCCCGAAGGAATCGTGGCTTTCTTCTTTATAATCATCCCCAGAGGCAAGTTCGGATAACGCTCCAAAGCTGGACGTGTGTCTTGAGCCACTGGCGATGACGAAACGGAATTTCCTTGCGCTCGGTCTCCCATCGTACCGACAACCTCGGTACATGCACTTCGTCCTACACTTATGGTTTTAGGCCCTCCAGCAGGCGTATTAACCGCTGCATTTTTCGTTAACTTCACCATTTTCAGGCGACGCTTACCACTTGGTGTTATCATTGGAACGTATTTACAGCGCCCCGTAGGCACTCGTTCCGAGGTGAAAATTTCGCCAAGGAAGAATCCCGTACTATTTGCTGCAAGCATCTGCGGATTTACCCACAGCTGTACGTCGCGGCATTGTACAAGACTCCGGATAGACGAGCTTTCCATTGTAGCCGAAACACAACTAAAGGCAATTTATTATAAGGACGCTACATTAAAGGCTGTTCACGCAACTACTTGATCGAATTACGCAATGTTTACAAAATACGAGCTAAACATAATATGGTTTCAACTGTGTTAAATGAAACTTTCCGCGAGTTTTGTTTTGTCGCTCGTCGTATAACTGGTAGGTATCGCCAAAAACACCAACGACCTTGTAAGGCCCTTCATATATAGCGAAAAACTTGGACAAGTACTTGTTCTCGGCATTGGATACGTTGAGCGCCTTCAACAACACAGAATCATTTATTTTAAACGTGAAATGCCGACGCTTGGCATTTTTCTTTTCCGCTCGCCGCTTTAGCATCCGATGCATATAATCACGAGCTAACATTAATTTTCCTTCTTTCGGAAGCGTCTGTAGCGCGGGAGTATTTAAATATCTCTCCCATAGGCGCTCGGGTTTTTTATTCAAAAATAACTCTGTGGGCGTAAACCGAGTGGATTCGTGAATTACTTCATTCATCAAGGAACAGATTAATTCGAGGTGGTCGTACCAGGCAGCATGACTATTCGACAGTAGAGAGCGAAAAAAACGCGCTAATTCACGATGAACGCGCTCCACTGGATTCGACTGCGGATGACGTATGGACGAAAAAATGAGGGAAATTTCCAGATCGTTTAATTTGTGGAGCCATTTTTTCGAACTAAACTGCGTGCCATGGTCGTTTATGATTTTCATCGGTTTGCCATATTTTGGAATATAATCGCGAACAATACATCGAATTACCGCGTCTGTGGTAGCCTTTCGCAATGGATATAAAACAACGAATTTTGAGAACACGTCTACTGTCGACAGAATGTATTTATAACCGTATTTCGCGGTAGGTAGAGGGCCAAAAAAATCGATGGACAAAAGTTCATTTGGCCTTTCTATCAGTATCGGCCGATATTGTTCGTTAAATTTCTGCGTGATAATCTTGTTCACCTGACAATGGTGGCAGCGCTTAATCGTGTCATACACACACCTTTTCAATCCAGGAGAAAAAAACTGTTCTCGTAATAATTTAAGTGTTTTAAACGAGCCGATATGCGCATATAAGGAATGGATCTCTTCAATCAGTAAATTCAATTTGATTTTTGGTATGACAAACTTCAACTTTTCTCTTTCCTTTTTGTACAATATGTCGCCCTCGTATGCGAAACGCTTACACAGACGATTTTCCTTGTTTTTTAACGATTCTATAATATGAACAATCTCATCGTCTTGCCGCTGCCATCCCCGTAACTCTTTAAATAAGTCGATTAGTTCGTCGGAAGGTTTGTGAGCCAACAATATGTTAATTTGTAAGTCGGATTCACCCCCTGCGGGCGGATATTGCACCCTACTCAAAAAATCCGCGCTAGCGTTCTTCTTTCCTTCTATATAAGTAATGTCCAGGTTATAACATTGCAACGCCAGCTGCCACCTCAGCAGGCGTGAATTGCCGAAGCGACAAGTATTGAGGAAGGATAGCGCCTGGTGATCCGTTCGTGCGTGTATCTTCACCGCCCCCCGTAGGTACGTGTGTAGCTTATCAAGCGCCCAGACCAAGGCCAATAATTCCTTCTCTGTAGTGAAATAGTTCAATTCACTCGCGCGTAACGTCCGACTTACGAAAGTGATTATCGCTTCCTCGCCTTGATCGTTTTTCTGCGATAACACAGCCGCTATCGCATAGTCGCTCGCATCGGTCGTCAAGATGTAAGGCCGTTGGATATCGGGAAATTTTAGAATGACGTTCTCATCAAATAAATCCTTAATTTTCTCAAATGCTTCTTGTTGATCCGTCCCCCACACGAAAGCTTCTTTCTTTCGTAGCAGCTTGTTCAGAGGTAACGTATACAGCGAGTAATTTTTCACGAACTTAGTGTAGAAATTTACAAAACCTAGGAACGATTGCAACATGGTGACATTTTTAGGTACCGGAAAGTTCTTTATCGTCGCTATTTTTTCAGGCTGCGGTTTCAACCCTTCAGCGGATAATCTATGGCCTAAAAAATCTATTTCTCGCCGCATGAAATTCGACTTACAAAAATGAACCCTTAAATTGTGCTTCAAACAGCGCTCGAAAACCATATCTAAATGACGCAAATGCTCTTCGAAGGTCGGGGAAAATACAGCCAAATCGTCTACGAATTGTAAGACAAAAGCCTCGAGCCCGAACAGCACCTCACTAAGCGCCCTTAGTAAAGCAGCCCCCGACGTTTTAATGCCGAAAGCGACCACGTTGAATTCATACACGTGATTGTCGAGCTTGAACGCCGTGTACTGTTTGGATTCTTCGGATAAGGGGATCTGCCAATAGGAACTCGTCAAATCCAAGTTAGAGATGAAATTTGCGTGCCGGCATCGTGGAAATAGCTCCTCGATCCCCGGTGGCGATTCGTAATCGTCGACTAAATTTTCATTCAATTTTCGAGCGTCTATGCACAAACGCACCGTTTTATCCTTTTTTATCACCACGCGAATAGGATTTATGTACGGACTGAAAGACCTGCGTATGACGTTTAGCTTCAACATCTTGTCGATTTCATTCTGAACCTGTTCTCGATAATTTAGCGGAACCGGGTACGGGCGCGTAAAAAACGGTTTCTTGTCTTTCAACACAAGTTCGTGAACATACGTATTAATAAGACGAGGGCGCTTCTCGAAAATTGGCTGATAACGTTGTATTAATTCTTTTAACGAACTCTTTTGCCCGTCTGACAAATCCAATGCCTTTATTTTGTCCTCTACCTCATCAGGAGTAATTTCGTACGACTCATCTGTTTGATCGAACGTTCCATCATCAATGATCACATCCTGTTTATTATTATTGTATTCCACCTTGCAATAATGTGATTCATAATTATTCGATTGCTCAAGACGGGATATCAACGGCATGACTATCTCCCGATGTTGAATACGTAGCGTGACATCCATCTTCGCCGAGTTAATTATAATATCCAGCTCTTTAAAAGCATCGAAACCGATAATGACTTCCCGCGTCAATTTAGGCACCACCACATACGTCAGGGACACTTTATGATCTCCGAAAGCCGTAGGAATAAAAATTTGTTTTTTTATTTTGCAGGACCTTTGACCCGTTGCCACTTTAATATATTTGCCTGTTAGTGGTAGCGTTGGTAATCGCCCTAACTCCTGTTTATTCGTTTCGTAAAAGGCTTCGGAAATACAGGATATTTCGCTGCCCGAGTCCAATAGGGCCATGACCTTAACGCCAACCAATGCCACCTCGATTTCGGGACATTTCAATCCGCGAGATATCTGATCGTGTGGATTGATGTCGTACAATAACTCCTCTCGTGCATCGAAAAATATGGAGCGATGATTTAAATTCCGTTGGAATACCACCCTAGGTGAAAACACAGAGTCAATATTAATCTTGTAATTACCGAATCCTTTAAGGCAATCATCTATGAAAGAAAAGCGTCGTGAGCCACACAAATATTTTAATCGAGACCATACGCGATTTATCTTAGTTGGTACTCGACGATGCGACTGTTTGTTTATAATAATGCTGTTCTTACAAAAACGTGCCCACCGATGCGATCTCTCGCTACCTCTGCGCGTGCAATATTCAGTTGCGTTGACCCGACGCGTGTAATCGACTGATTTCGTCAACGCAACCTTTACAAGTTTTTTTCCGGGTGGGACGGGTTTAAAAAATCGTCGCAGTCCCTAGGATTCGCACCAACAAGACACGATTTTACTGTTTCTCGGTTGCCTCGTTGTGGCGAGGGATCGCGTGTTTGCCCAAAACCTTCGTCTTCTTGATCCAGCGAAATCTGGTTCGATCGCCAGGTCTGTGTGCTGTTGCGATTATTATTGTGATTATTATTATTAACTCGATTTCCTGTGTTCGAACTTGGATTAGCATTCGATGCTGCGGGATTATTCGAGCTCGAAGCATTTCGATTTTTATCAGGCCCAAGACCGCGATAACGCCGTTCGTCCGCGTCAAACTCCGCCAACAATTCCAACAGAGACTCGTCCGTTGAATTTCGATCACACATAATGGCATGCTTGAAATTACGACCAAAATGAGCCGCAAGCTGATGCAATAAATTCTTATCATTCGAGGGAATATCTAAATCACGAGCAAACCCGAACATATGAGTGGCATACTCTGCCCTCGTGTATTTTCCCCCAAGTTGATATTGACCGAATTCTAATTTTCTGCGGAGGCTCTGTTGCACCGCCGGACTCCAGTATCGTTCACAAAATTTACGTTTGAACTCGGCAAGGGTTTTTGCTTTGTGCTCGTGCAGATACCACCAGTCGCGTGCTGTCTCCTCGCAACACTCCGCAAAGATACACGGTAAGTCAGAATCGCGAGGTCGAACGTAATTCACGTATCTCTCGAGCTCGGAGAGGAACTTGATCGGTCGTTCGCCGTCGCGTCCCTTAAATTTCGGAACGGATAAGTTTAAAGAAGGCGAACTATTTGTTGTACTTTGCCTCATGGATTGGCGTACTTGGTATAACTTCTCGTCGAGGGACTGCTTCAGGCTTCTTGAGTCGTTATAAGCTTCGTCGAAAAACTTTCCCATACGATCCCTTAACGACTGTACGTCATAATACGAGTCGTCAACATCTTTATATAGCCTATCGATATCTTCATGTAATTTATCAACAGACTTTTTTAAGTCGGAGTAATTTTTTTCAATCCCCTCGATCCGTAGCAAATTTTCTGTCGCACCGTTTTCGACGCTTTCCTTCAGTTCGTGAGTTTCATTCGTTGCTTTGATTATATCACGGGTAAACTCGGCTCTCAACGCACGTAAATCGCTTGAATCCGTCTCACATTTCTCCAATATATTAACGCGTTCGATAAGCTGCTTGTTTACTTCAAATATTTCTTTTACATCTTCGTTGATGGCACCCTGCCACCGCATAAGCTGTCCATACGATATACTATGTTTCTCCTCGTCGACCACGGTTTCGCGTAGTTGAATTAAAAAAGCCTCAGCTCGCCTACCATGAGCCATTTCGCCTTAAAACCCGAGTGGTCGAACGAGAAAGAAAATCACTACGTGTGTTATATTAACCCAATGTAACAGCAAGGTATAGGATAAACCTACCAATCTGGGATGTACGAGAGTTGTCGACGTGTACGTAAGTATCAACGGAATGTAAACAACACGCGAGGCCGACGGAAAATCAACATACACGTCCTTGTAAATAGAGTTCACGGGTCGTATAGTGTATTGTCGATATCTCAAGAACGACGTACAAGACAAACGACCTTAAATTTGACCGTTAAGAGGTTTACATACAATATCACATATGCTTCACAACGAAAACGCTGGCGTGGTTCTCGGAACAAGCCGCTTGTTTTGCCCGTGATATTCAACGTTATATCGTTTATTCAGTTACGCTACGCTTATCTCTTTTTAATACCGAAATCTCTGTTTTAGACTATCCAATATAATGCCTTAACAAAACGCCATTAGGTATTACTTTTGAATTTTTCGAAAACACGCTACTCCCGATCAACCCTCTCCCTTACAGACTGTGTCCCTATTCGGGCGCCAAAAAATCATATGTGACGTTCCCTTTTGCGTCACGATGTTCTTTAAGAACGAATAAAACAAATAATGTGGGACTTTGCCTGGAAGGGAGAGTCGAGATGACGAAGGAGAAAAATGTCTCTACATGCACGTGATGAAGCGATGTGTGTCGTAATTTTGAATCGTCTACGAGCTAAAAAAAAACACTAGCACACACTGTGCGGATATCCTTCTCCTCGGCCGAATGGAACACTGAATGATTTGGGAGGATAAAGGATGAGGAACGGGCACTCGTCACTGTGGCTAAGCCATAGATCGAGGAGGCCCGGAACGATATGAAATTCCCGTCCTCGTACTTACGACCTTGGCGTTATTGCAAAACTGGAACCAGCGAGAGAGAGGGCTCCACCGCCATCCGATGCTTCCCAAGACGTTCGACGAAAGCTGAAATGATACTTGCATGCAAAGACGCCAAATTCAAAGAAACAAGCGAGGCGGGATTTCGTTTAAGTACCAAGGCTTTAATGAAGCAAACTTAACAATACATATCTTTCTATAATGCATACAAATTATTACATCAAGCAAAACGTAATATTTAAATAAAGGCGTACAAAAATGAGCGAATAGCAAAGAAAGGAAAAGTAAGCGTTTAAGCGATAACCAATATGAGCTTAAGTCAAAATTATAATATGTTTAAAATAATAACCAACGCGATGCATTGAAGCAAATCATAGCGGTGCATTTAAGCTACTCTAAATCAAGCATTGAAGCTAAGTGCCTTGGTGCATTGAAGCGCGACACGAATGTATGGCGGATTCCCCGTTGGCACCAGAAAGATCAAGTGTCTCGATCAAGCCAGTACCATCGGAAGAATGCCTACCGTCGTGTGCTCGCCGTGCCTGGATGGTGCTGTCGGATCGCTTGCGGTAGGCGCTGCCGAAACCCATTTCCTATGCGCCGATTGGTAACTTGCGGTGATGGGCCATGTATTGAAGCCCGAAAGCATTGCGCTGCGCGCGGCGATCTACCTGCTCTCCGCCCTACGTGCACCTATTTAAAACACAATTAGTAGCAAGCACAGCGTTAGCTATCAACATAAAATGAGAACAAAAAATATTTCTACCTATAAACACAAGATATAATAAAGACCACCAATCACACATCGCTTCACCCATTATTAAGAATAAATTAATTAATTAATTCAAATTCGAGAGGCTAGTCGGTTACAACTTATATATTATCTTTACCTTCTTACAGGGTTTGCCGTTTATTTTCCTGTATATAATATCAATAGGTAGGTTACGTTGGTGCAGGATTTTAAACTAAACGTTATTAGTTTGAAAACAAGAATAGTAATGTGAATTTACTAATAAATCATCTATATCTTTCTTACAGAGTATGCCGTCAATTTTTCTGTATTAAAAATCGACAGGTAGGTATCATTGGAAAAAGATTTCTATCAGACCGTAAGTAATTTGGTAATAATAATAGAAATGTAAATCAACTGATCAATAATTTATATCTTTTTACAGAGTATGTCGTCAATCTCTTCGCAGCAATATTGACGGGTAAGTATCGTTGAGACAGGATTCCTATCTAAATGTTATTTAGTTATATATCGTAACCAAATTAATTTGGTTACGATAATAGTCATGTAAGTTGACAGATAAATCATCTATATTTTTCTTGAAAGGTATGCCATAAGTCTCTTCATATTGAATATTGATAGGTAGGTACCGTTAAGGTGGGCTTCGTATCTATACGTTAAGTATTCAGTAACGAAAATATTCATGTAAATTTACTGATAAATTATCTACATTCCTTTTACAAGGGATGCCATTAATCTCTTCGCTTACGATATTGACAGGTAAGTAGGTACTGTTGGGGTAGGATTTCTGTCCAAAAAGTAATTTCGTAATGAGAATAGAAATGTAAACTTACTGATAAATCATCGTTACCTTGTTACAGGGTTTGCTGTTATTCTCTTAGTATTAATTATTGATAGGTAGGCACTATTGGGGCAGGATTTCTATCTAAACGTTATAAGTTTGCTTACGAGAATAGAAATATAAATTTACTGAAAATTAATCTATGTTTTTTTACCGCGCATACCGTTAATTTTCGTGTGTGAAATATAGACTGGTAGGTACTGCTGGGACAGGATTATTATGTAAAAGTAAGTAACATAGCAATGAGAATACTCATGTTCATTTATTGATTAGTTATCGATACTCTCGTACAGGGTATGCTGTTCATCTCTTGGTATTAAATATCGACAGTTAGGTATTGTTGGGGCAAGATTCCTCTTTTAACGTCATTATGTAGGTCACGAGAAGAGGTTTTCATTAAAGTAATTGTAATTCAAAAGAAACTTAATTCTAAGAATATTAATATAATATTTACAAAATAGGTCTATATTCTNAAAATGAGTTTTTAAACTAAATACACAAATTTTCATCTAAAGAAGAAAAAACAAAAAAGAAAAAGAGCTTTAAACGTTGAATTCCGCACCTTATCGTTAATAATTCAACCATGCCTAAACTGCCACGTACATCGCGTAACTGGACCAAGTGTATGATCGCAACTCAAAAATTTACTAGATCGAGATTTGCGTTAATCAACGAACAATACGAAAATAAGGGAGACAGTTATTGTACCCATCGTTTGGATAACTTCAAGCCACTGCTGGAAATCGTCCACATCCAAGTCGAAAATGTCGTCGCGATTTGCCTGCACAGCCGATGTGGAGTACTCGTGCAACAAGCCGTACGGGTCATTCGTTGTATCATCATTTCCTTCCTCTTCAGAAATTACTTGTTGCAACGAGGCGAGCTCGACCTCGAACCCCGAAGGAATCGTGGCTTTCTTCTTTATAATCATTTCCAGAGGCAAGTTCGGATAACGCTCCAAAGCTGGACGTGTGTCTTGAGCCACTGGCGATGACGAAACGGAATTTCCTTGCGCTCGGTCTCCCATCGTACCGACAACCTCGGTACATGCACTTCGTCCTACACTTATGGTTTTAGGCCCTCCAGCAGGCGTATTAACCGCTGCATTTTTCGTTAACTTCACCATTTTCAGGCGACGCTTACCACTTGGTGTTATCATTGGAACGTATTTACGGCGCCCTGTAGGCATTCGTTCCGAGGTGAAAATTTCGCCAAGGAAGAATCCCGTACTATTTGCTGCAAGCATCTGCGGATTTACCCACAGCTGTACGTCGCGGCATTGTACAAGACTCCGGATAGACGAGCTTTCCATTGTAGCCGAAACACAACTAAAGGCAATTTATTATAAGGACGCTACATTAAAGGCTGTTCACGCAACTACTTTATCGAATTACGCAATGTTTACAAAATACGAGCTAAACATAATATGGTTTCAACTGTGTTAAATGAAACTTTCCGCGAGTTTTGTTTTGTCGCTCGTCGTATAACTGGTAGGTATCGCCAAAAACACCAACGACCTTGTAAGGCCCTTCATATATAGCGAAAAACTTGGACAAGTACTTGTTCTCGGCATTGGATACGTTGAGCGCCTTCAACAACACAGAATCATTTATTTTAAACGTGAAATGCCGACGCTTGGCATTTTTCTTTTCCGCTCGCCGCTTTAGCATTCGATGCATATAATCACGAGCTAACATTAATTTTCCTTCTTTCGGAAGCGTCTGTAGCGCGGGAGTATTTAAATATCTCTCCCATAGGCGCTCGGGTTTTTTATTCAAAAATAACTCTGTGGGCGTAAACCGAGTGGATTCGTGAATTACTTCATTCATCAAGGAACAGATTAATTCGAGGTGGTCGTACCAGGCAGCATGATTATTCGACAATAGAGAGCGAAAAAAACGCGCTAATTCACGATGAACGCGCTCCACTGGATTCGACTGCGGATGACGTATGGACGAAAAAATGAGGGAAATTTCCAGATCGTTTAATTTGTGGAGCCATTTTTTCGAACTAAACTGCGTGCCATGGTCGTTTATGATTTTCATCGGTTTGCCATATTTTGAAATATAATCGCGAACAATACATCGAATTACCGCGTCTGTGGTAGCCTTTTGCAATGGATATAAAACAACGAATTTTGAGAACACGTCTACTGTCGACAGAATGTATTTATAACCGTATTTCGCGGTAGGTAGAGGGCCAAAAAAATCGATGGACAAAAGTTCATTTGGCTTTTCTATCAGTATCGGCCGATATTGTTCGTTAAATTTCTGCGTGATAGTCTTGTTCACCTGACAATGGTGGCAGCGCTTAATCGTGTCATACACACACCTTTTCAGTCCAGGAGAAAAAAACTGTTCTCGTAATAATTTAAGTGTTTTAAACGAGCCGATATGCGCATATAAGGAATGGATCTCTTCAATCAGTAAATTCAATTTGATTTTTGGTATGACAAACTTCAACTTTTCTCTTTCCTTTTTGTACAATATGTCGCCCTCGTATGCGAAACGCTTACACAGACGATTTTCC